GTGCCATAGGTACTTTTTTGGTCAAATCTGTTTCGATAACCATATAAACGCGCTATTTATCAAACAGAAGGGAAAAGAAAAGAACGTATGTCAGGCCGTTCGCAGCTGTCCACAGTGTCTCAGGCCTCTTCGAAGAGCGCTGCGTAAACACTCTTGCGATAAGGTGTACTGTAGAGTCTGCAAGAGCGTTAACAAATTAGGCCATCAGTGTTACGTCAGACCGGTAAAAAAGACGCCTGTGGAAAAAAAATTCTATTCATTTTTTACGATTTTGAAACACAGCAGATACAGAAGCTGCCTGGTGACGACACGGTACGCATCCACACGCCAAACTTGTGTGTCGTTCAGCAAATGTGCACAGCGTGCATAAACGATACAGATCTCGCGAAGGTATGTCCGTCTTGCAGTGTACGCGAGTACGTCTTCGAAGAGGATCCCGTAAGGCAGTTTGTAGATTACGCGTGCGATCCTAAAAGAAAATCGTTTCAGAGAGTGATCGGTGTGGCGCATAACGCCAAGGGCTTCGACGCGCAGTTTATACTAAAGCATATCGTGAAGCGTAAGCGGAAAACTCTAAAACCACAGACGCTGATACTCAGTGTAACGCCAAGGGTTTCGACGCGCAGTTTATACTGAAGCATATCGTGAAGCGTAAGCGGAAAACTCTAAAACCACCGACGCTGATACTCAGTGGCACGAGTATCATAATGATGAAGACAGGTCGTGTAACATTCATAGACAGTCTTAATTATTTTCACATGCCTCTGAGTGGTCTGCCAAAAGCCTTCGGTCTCGTGGGCTCTGGTGGTTTGAAACAAAAAGGTGTCTTTCCGCATCTATTCAATACTCCCGAAAATCAGCACTATATCGGTCCTCTACCGCCACTCAAGTTTTATTCACCCGATACGGTGCCGACGGCTCAACGTGATCAATTCCTAGTATGGTATAACACGTGGTTTTTGCATACCGTGTAACAGATCTTACACACACGAGGCAGAGCATAAGTGTTCCCACAAATGCGCTAGATGTTTTGGAAAACCGCCCTGCGATTCGGCTCTCCCCACATTGTATTGTCGCGAGTGCCATAGGTACTTCTTTGGTCAAATCTGTTTCGATAACCGTATAAACACGCTATTTATCAAACATAAGGGAAAAGAAAAGAGCGTATGTCAGGCCGTTCGCAGCTGTCCACAGTGTCTCAGGCCTCTTCGAAGAGCGCTGCGTAAACACTCTTGCGATAAGGTGTACTGTAGAGTCTGCAAGAGCTTTAACAAATTAGGCCATCAGTGTTACGTCAGACCGGTAAAAAAGGCGCCTGTGGAAAAAAAAATTCTATTCATTTTTTACGATTTTGAAACACAGCAGATACAGAAGCTGCCCGGTGACGACACGGTACGCATCCACACGCCAAACTTGTGTGTCGTTCAGCAAATGTGCACAGCATGCATAAACGATGCAGATCTCGCGGGGGTATGTCCGTCTTGCGGTGTACGCGAGCACGTCTTCGAAGAGGATCCCGTAAGGCAGTTTGTAGATTACGCGTGCGATCCTAAAAGAAAATCGTTTCAGAGAGTGATCTGTGTGGTGCATAACGCCAAGGGTTTCGACGCGCAGTTTATACTAAAGCATATCGTGAAGCGTCAGCGGAAAACTCTAAAACCACCGACGCTGATACTCAGTGGCACGAGTATCATAATGATGAAGACAGGTCGTGTAACATTTATAGACAGTCTTAATTATTTTCACATGCCTCTGAGTGGTCTGCCAAAAGCCTTCGGTCTCGTGGGCTCTGCTGGTTTGAAACAAAAAGGTGTCTTTCTGCATCTATTCAATACTCCCGAGAATCAGCACTATATCGGTCCTCTACCGCCACTCGAGTTTTATTCGCCCGATACGATGCCGACGGGTCAACGTGATCAATTCCTAGCATGGTATAACGAGCAACGGTCTGCGGGCTACGTATTTAACTTTCGAACAGAGTTTATTGATTACTGTAGATCCGACGTCGCCATCTTCAGACAGGCATGCGTTTCTTTCCGCGCAATGTTTCTCCAGCACGGTAGCGTTTGTCCTTTCTCGGAGAGCACCACCATAGCCTCAGCGTGTTCAAGAGTTTTTAGAAAAAATTTTTTGCGGGACGAGCAGATAGCCATTTTACCACCGGGCGGATACCGCTACTGCGAGAAACAATCACGTAAGGCCCTGTTATGGATCCATTCGCTGGAGCATCGTTGGGGTTGTACCATAGCGTTTCTTTCCGCGCAATGTTTCTCCAGCGCGGTAGCGTTTGTCCTTTCTCGGAGAGCACCACCATAGCCTCAGCGTGTTCAAGAGTTTTTAGAAAAAATTTTTTGCGGGACGAGCAGATAGCCATTTTACCACCGGGCGGATACCGCTACTGCGAGAAACAATCACGTAAGGCGCTGTTATGGCTCCTTTCGCTGGAGCACCGTTGGGGTTGTACTATAGTTCACGCAGGGCGCACTCGAGAGTACCGTCTACCGGAGGGTACGCCCGTCGACGGATACTACCACGACGCCGATACAGGCCTGCGACACGTCTTGCAGTTTCAGGGTTGCTTTTGGCACGGGTGCCCAAAATGTTACCGCATAAACACAGCCTCAGCGTGTTCAAGAGTTTTTAGAAAAAATTTTTTGCGGGACGAGCAGATAGCCATTTTACCACCGGGCGGATACCGCTACTGCGAGAAACAATCACGTAAGGCGCTGTTATGGCTCCTTTCGCTGGAGCACCGTTGGGGTTGTACTATAGTTCACGCAGGGCGCACTCGAGAGTACCGTCTACCGGAGGGTACGCCCGTCGACGGATACTACCACGACGCCGATACAGGCCTGCGACACGTCTTGCAGTTTCAGGGTTGCTTCTGGCACGGATGCCCAAAATGTTATCGCATAAACAGGGATACGCGGTTGCACACGGGGGAATCTATGGATGCGCGCTTCGAGAGAACGCTGGCAATGAGTGATAAGATCCGCTATCTCGGTTACGAATTGACAGAAATCTGGGAGTGTGAATTCGATAGATGGATAAGCGATCCGGCACAGGCTACATTATATAGAACATTGAATGAGAACCCGTTGGTAGCGCAACCACAGCTGGAACCCCGCGATGCTTTCTTCGGTGGACGTACAGGGAATACCGTCAGTTTTTACGAAGTCGAGGGTTCTGAGAGGATACACTACGTGGATGTGTGCTCGCTCTATCCCTTCATATCGAAAACGGGGAAATTCCCTGTAGGTCACCCTAGAGTGTATGTGGGCGATGATTGTCGCGAGCTAACGGGTGATCACAATAACATCGATAGCGTAGAGGGGCTAATTAAGTGTGTCGTGTTACCGCCGCGAGATCTGTATCACCCCGTGTTACCAACGCGCATGCACGGTAAATTGCTTTTCGCACTGTGTCATTCCTGTGCAGAGTCAACGCTACAGGGTTCGTGTCCTCACGAGAATCCTGAGGATAGAGTATTCGAAGAGACATGGGTTGTGGACGAGGTCAGGCGGGCTGTACGTAAAGGATATCAAATAACGGCGATAAACGAAATATGGCAATACGAGATCACTCAGTACGATCCGACGACGCGGACGGGCGGTCACTTTGCCAGTTACATAAATACATTCCTGAAGATTAAGCAGGAGGCTAGCGGCTGGCCGCGCGAGTGCAGCTACGATGAGTCTAAGAAGCTGTATGTAGAGGAGTACGATCGGGTCGAGGGTATTCGACTAGATTTTGCTAATATAAAATCAAATCTTGGTCTGCGAGTAGTCGCCAAACTATGTCTGAATTTCTTTTGGGGTAAGTTCGGGCAGTGCGAAAATCGACCTAAAACGGAAATCGTAACGACTCGTCAGAAGCTCGTGAGTTTGCTTACGTGCCCGGAGGTCGAAATTACGGGTATTCTACCCGTAGATGACGAAGTACTCTACGTCAACACGAGTAGTACGAGCGAATCGGTGATACCCACAGCGTACACAAACGTCGTTATAGCTGCGTACACCACGGCTTAAGCTCGTCTTAAGTTATATGACTATCTCGAGAAATTAGATCGACGTGTACTATATTACGACACGGACTCGTATATATACGTATCGGATGGTCGTCACGCCGATAACGCTTACGAACCGTCGCTCGGCAGTCTTTTGGGCGATTTAACGGACAAGCTGGAGTGGTACGGTGTTGGTAGCTGCATCACGTCATTTGTATCGGGAGGTCCGAAATTTTACGCGTACCGGGTACGTAAGCCAGACGGTTCTCACGCAGAGGTCTGCAAAGTCAAAGGTATCACGATCGACCACGCGACGAGTCTTGCCATTAATTATGATTGGATACGGTCTTATGTAACGGAGGTCCGAAATTTTACGCGTACCGGGTACGTAAGCCAGACGGTTCTCACGCAGAGGTCTGCAAAGTCAAAGGTATCACGATCGACCACGCGACGAGTCTTGCCATTAATTATGATTGGATACGGTCTTATGTAACGGGGCAGACCAGCGAAGCGGTCGTTTTACGCTATGACGCGATACGTCGTACTCCGTTTCACGACGTAGTGACACGACTCGAATCAAAAACGTGTAAACCGACAGAGCTTCAAAAACGGCGACGCGATGGTCGTTTCGGATCCTTGCCGTACGGATTTATGTAGCTAATATTATAAAAAAAAGAAAATTGTAAAAATGTATATACCGGCCTAAACAATAATTCACCGAGCGGCTTTATGTAACCACTATTATAAAAAAAAAGTAATTGTACAAATGTATATACAACCCTGAACAATATTTTACCGTACGCTTTTATGTAACTAATATTACAAAAAAAAAATGTACAAATGTATATACAACCCTGAACAATATTTTACCGTACGCTTTTATGTAACTAATATTACAAAAAAAAAATGTACAAATGTATATACAACCCTGAACAATATTTTACCGTACGCTTTTATGTAACTAATATTACAAAAAAAAAATGTACAAATGTATATACAAACCTGAGCAATAATAGTACGGATAATAAACGTATTTATTTTAAAAACAAAAAAAAATCTCTTTTATCGATCTATCCCCGAAGGCTCTACCAGCCCGTCCACGTTATGTTTTTTTTTTCAGCGGCGCTTCGGACAAGCTAGCAGTGCACGGTGGCTAGCGATATGGTTGACGCACATACAGGCAGGCAGTTAGCTCACAGGTGCACGATGAGCTCACCCGGACGAGGGGCTAGCAACGTAACCGATAAGAGCTAGCAAGCGCGCGCGACGTTACGAGTCTGACGCGTGTCGCGCGCCAGCCACGGCCAGGCCCCGCTATGGAAGGGGGAATTTGTAAAAGCCAGCAGACTCTTTAACAGTATATTCCTGAAGAGCACCGCCAGATAACGTCATTTGGCATAATGGACACGCGGTGGAAGCACCCGTGGACGTCGATGGTCTGCGGGCCAACGGGGTGTGGGAAGACGTTTTTCGTAAAGAAATTCCTACGGTTCATCGGGGACATGAGCGACGTGCGCTTCGCGCGCGTTCTCTTCTACTATGCAGAGTGGCAGGAGGGGTGCAGGGAGTACGCGAGCGCAATAGAGTTTTACGAAGGCCTACCGCAGAACACCGATTACGGCAACGATCCACGCCCGAAACTTGTCATCATCGACGATCTCATGAGGGAATCGTCCAATAATACGGTGGTCGATATTTTTACCAAAGGCAGCCATCATAAGAACATTAGCGTTATCTTTATCACGCAGAACCTCTTTCATCATGGGCCAGGACAGCGCGGTATCTCGTTAAACGCCAACAACATCGTTGTATTTAAAAATCCGCACGACAGAGCACAGATACAGTATCTGGCCAGACAGGTGTTTCCTGAAAATCCGCGCTTCGTACAGGAGGTCTACCGTGACGCCACGGCCCAACCGCATGGCTATCGACTACTCGATTTGAAGCAGTCGACCTCCGATAACTGCCGCTTTCGCACGTGCGTGTTTCCTTCGGACCCGTTGCACTATGTGTACGTACCGCGAAAGAGTATAAAGGGCGGGTACACCGACCGAGACGTAACAGTCATTCGGTTGTAATGGTATCCGGCGCACGCTGCTCTATAGGGCGCAAACACGCCGCCGTGTTAAAGGCTGTTTGCCATCTGGATAGCAAACAGCGTAGCGCTTTGTTACGAGTGGCCGATCCACGACTCGTCAACTGTATATGCGAATGTGCTCTAAATATTCTTCGCGGTAACGTGCCTCTCAAGCCGACGCAAACGTTGCTTACGAAAACACGCATCGCTGTTGAGATGTTTATCCACACCGGGTTCAGCCGTCAAAACTAGAAAACGTCTTATCGTTCAGAGCGGTGGTTTTTTACCTCTTCTGCTAGCACCTATACTGGGCACCGTCATATCGAAACTCATAGGGGGAAGTGGACAGGGGTATACGCCGCGAAGAGAGAGACAGATCGAGATGGAGCATGCCAAAAAGATGGTTCTCATCCCTCAGGAGAGCGTGGAGCAGCAGCACTACCGGTCAATGCCTCATACACCCCACCAACACCACCAGCAGCAGGAGCAGGGTGTCGACACCGTAAACACCGTGCAGACCCCCGGGACCCCATTAAGCAGATTAGATGCATCCATGAAGGAGATCCTACACTCGCCGAATTTTATCGGCAGCAGCAGGAGCAGGGTGTCGACACCGTAAACACCGTGCAGACCCCCGGGACCCTCTTAAGCAGATTAAACGCATCCAGGAAGGAGATCCTACACTCGCCGAATTTCATCGACGAGCGCGAAAAGTGGAAGATGTACAATCAGGTGCTGCAGCGTTATCTGCACTTTATCGAGGATCTGCGAAATAACGTCGACGAGGATAGGCGAGGCGATAACGATGCCAAGAAAAAAAATAACGATTTTGCGGAGGATAATGTCAAGAGCTTGACCGACGATGGCGAAGACGACATCATCGCTACCGTACCCCAAAATTACAGAGCTAAGGCTAGGCTCTTACTAGGAAGGCTGCGTAACGCTGGTTCGCCACGCATCTCGTGGAGTAAATAGGGCCTTACGCGTATCGGTGGAGCCGTCGTGCAGGACGCCAACATCGTGGATTTAATCAACGACGCTATGCGCGAGAGAAAAACAGCGAGACGGGCGGGGAGTCGGCAGTTTGTGCGGTTCCTTCGTACTACCGGTATACCGCGCGAATATATCGGTAATCAGCGTCTATGGAGGGAGAGGAGCAACACGGGGTCTCCCGGTAATCAGACACCGCAGGCGGGATGTCGGCAGTTTGCGCAGTTCCTTCGTACTACCGGTATACCGCGCGAATACATCGGTAATCAGCGTCTATGGCCGGAGGGGAGCAATACGGGGTCTCCCGGTAATCAGACACCGCGCCGTGTAACAATCGTGCCGCGCCCTATCGAGCCGACTCAGAGCTCGTCTACAGAGGAGGAATTCGGCGAGGCATTTCAGGAAGTGTTTAGAGACTCCGGGGAAGAAGAGCTCGTGGGGAAAAAATATACGCGATCCGTGTCGGCCGGTACAACCAGCGATACCGAGAAAAAGAAAAGATTAGAATGGTTAAGGCTTCCGTGAAACGGAAGACGGAAAAGATATCGGCTGATGATAGCCGTCTGAGGCGTCTTTATTACACACCAATGCCGTGAAACGGAAGAAGAAAAAGATATCGACTGATGATAGCCTTCTGAGGCGTCTTTATTACACGCCAGCAGAACCGTCTTCGTATGACGGTATCAGTAACCTACAGCGAGCGGCTAGGGGGCAGGGTAAAACGAGATTCCGTCGTGCGTTAGTTAGAGGCGCAGGACGCATATACGTTGCATAAGCCCGTAGGTCGCACGTTTCAGCGCCGCTCTTACGCCGTCAGCAATATCGACGATGTCTGGGAGGCCGATCTCGTGGACCTGCGCTCCTTGAAGGAGTACAACGACGGTCACTCGTATATCTTTGTAATAATTGATGTACTCAGCATATACGCTTGGGTCGAGCCTCTACGCGATAAGTCCGGTGCAACGGTAGCAGCGGTATTCCGGAGGTGCGTAGTAGGAATAGGATACCCGTGTACCTACACACAGACAAAGGTAAAGAGTTTACCAATGGCGTACTGCAGCGTCTGCTCGAGGAGATTTGGCATAGGATTCCGCGTAGCGCGCAGCCCCGACGTAAAGGCTGCTGTCGTCGAACGCTACAATCGTACTCTGAAGGAGCGTATGTGGCGTTAGTTTACACATAGAAACACGCGGCGATACATAGATATTCTTCAGAGCCTCGTGGAATCGTACAACAGGACACGCCACTCTGCGATAAGAATGCGCCCGGTTGACATAACCCTGTATAATGCCGCTAAGGCTCGTATTAACCTATCTATGAGGTACGCATCAGCGAGCCCTCGTATCCCTAAATACGGTGACGGTGACCGGGTACGCATCAGTAGCGCTAGGAACCCTTTTGCGAAAGGTTACGAGGGTGGGTGGACTCAAGAGATTTTTAAAATCGTACGCCTAGGTACAACGAGGGAACCACCCGTCTACATCTTAGAAGATCCTGCCGGCGAGGAGATTGACGGTATTTTTTACGAAGAGGAGCTCGTTCGAGTTCGCAAGGACCTCGCGGCGACGTCCAAACACCCTTGCTGCGTGTAGTTCCCCTGCAAACAGGTAACAAATACGCGTACGGAGCCATGAAAGTGCTCTCGTTTTCACCGTTAAAGTATATACCCTTGCTCCGCACGACTTTTCAAACGATCGACATCGATATAAGAAACCACCTGGGCGACCCCATACCATTCGAATCAGGAACGCTCTCCGTAACACTATACTTTAAACGGTTAGAGTGATGGCTCATTACACCGCTTACTACGATTCGCAGGTAGGCGGGGGATATTCCACGAAATTCCGGGTGTTCGCGGGGTCCCAGTATCAGCGGGGTCATGGTATCGGTAGCTTTCTTGGTGGGCTGTTTCGGCGTGTGTTACCTTTGCTATCGAGAGGAGCCCGAGCCGTCGG